CTACGACACCTGACTGCTCTGTAGCCGCATCGGTTCGGGGGGCTTGTGCTGCTGGGGGGAAACCGCTGCGAGGGGAGCGCTGGCTGTCCCCCGCCCTGAACACCCCAAGGTTCGTGCAGTGGTACCCCAGTGCTAAAGCTGCTGCCGGCATCGCCCGGGTGCTCCCCCGCGGCAGGAGGGACTCCCTCTGTCACCCTGCTCCATGCGGTGACCTGGGGGCCACCAGCTGCTCTGTCACCAGGTGTCCCTGATGCACTGGACACAGAGGGGCTGAGCCCCCCGGGTGCTGCAGTGCCCCTGAATCCCTCCTGACAGCCGGGATGGAGGATGGATGCTTGCACCCCAGAAGAGAAGCAGGAGCTGGGCTCAGCGCGGCTGCCCTGCGTGGTGGTCCCCCAGCTCACTGCAGCTCCTTCGTCTCTCCCAGGCTGTCGGGGGGTTCTTGCTGCTCCCCCTCGGCTGGGCTCACTTCAGACAAGTGGGGATGCAGGAGAATGTCCTCTTCACCCGCAGCAGGAAGGGAGTTGTGCTCCTCCTGTCCCTGGCTCTCGGGACCAGTCCCTGCCGAGCTCCCTCCGTCCTGGCCGGTCCTGCTCTCCCCACTGGCAGCAGAGCCTTGATTTCTTCCTCGTCATTGAATGGAGACGTCCCATACCTCTGCTTCAGCTGCCTGCGGACCTGTGGAAGGAGGGGGAAGCAAGCTAAGGTGCCTGTGTCCATCCAAGCCCACTGGCAAGGGAGTGGGGAAGAGACCTGGTCCCCCTGGGACTCGTCCTTGGCCACGGAGCAGAGTGCGGGTGGCACGGGCTGGTCCCCCCCTCGTCCCCACCTTGCGGGCTGCGACGCCACCGAACTCAGTCAGCTGCTGCCTGAAGCCGGGGTTGGGGTTGGCGACGGGGCGGACGGTTCGGATGGCGTCCAGCACCTCCTGGGAGCTCAGCTCCGTGACGGCCATGACGTAGGCGACGACCACGGTGGTGCTGCCAGCCAGGCTGCGGGGAAAAGGGCAGGGGGCTGCTGTCACGGCACACCCTGAGCCCCCTGCCCCTTCCTCCACCCCTGAGCTTCAGCTGTTTTGGTTCCTTTTCTCCAAGAACTCACTCTCTGGGATGCCTGAGCCCCTCCAAGCTCCTCTCCATCAGTGCCCATAAATTCCTGCTCCTCCCTGGGGAGGGGAGAGCTGTGGGTGCTGCCTGTCCCGAATCCCGCTTGTCCCAGTGTGAGAAAAGCTGCCCCGTGTCCTGGGCTGCCTGGATCCCGTGGGATTTGGGGCTCAAGCTGCAGCTTCTCCAAGAACTCACTCTCTGGGATGCCTGAGCCCCTCCAAGCTCCTCTCCATCAGTGCCCATAAATTCCTGCTCCTCCCTGGGGAGGGGAGAGCTGTGGGTGCTGCCTGTCCCGAATCCCGCTTGTCCCAGTGTGAGAAAAGCTGCCCCGTGTCCTGGGCTGCCTGGATCCCGTGGGATTTGGGGCTCAAGCTGCAGCTGAGGGCAGATCCTGGGTGGATCCATGGGCACGGAGCCCCCTGGCACCATCTGGCTTTGGGTAGGGGCCTGCAGCCAAAGAGGGGGCTGGGTGTTTGCTGGGCTGGGGGGACAAGGGCACGGGGACATCAGCGTTACCAGTGGACGAGGCAGTTCCCTCCGTGCAGGCGGCACTGGTGGATGAAACTGATGCATTCCTTGAAGTGCCTCTTGCTGGCAGGAAAAAAAAACAGACAGAAGAAGGACTTCAGGGGTGGAACAGGATTATTTTAGGCTCGAGCATCTGAGGGTAAAACACTGACATAAGGTGTCCGGTGCTGCTGAGATCCGAACAGCTCAGTGCTGTTGTATTCCACACAGGCTGGCTCGTGCCGTGCCGGGGTGGGT